TTGTAAATGCTGTTTTCCGCATTTCGTATACGCACAGCATGCCCAACATCTGCAAATGATCATTTACAATCAACATATGAGCTATCATAATAATTAAGTGAATTTCCATTGGCTTCAATGTAAATAAATTTTTACGTTGTATATCGTTGATGATAATAGAGTTGCTCTGTAACAAATTTAGTATTTTCTCCTTTGTTAGTTTGTCGTATTGGAGACAACAACATCAAACTTTACAAACGACAACAACAGGAACAACAATAAAAGCAACAACAACCCAACAGTACAAAATGAAAATTACAAAAAAAAAAGAAAGCAAGATGAACGGCAACATGAACAAGTAAAACAACAACATTACAAATATTTTGGAGAGTTCATTCAACCTCGCCCCAGTGAACTTAGCCGAGGTTATTTTTACCTTATGCTCCGCGCGTAATCCCCTCCAAACAAAAATATATATACAGGAAAGTTTAGTTGCAATATAAGTTTTATTTGCTGTGAAACTTTGCCACAACAACAACAACAACAACGACGACATCAACAGCAACAGCAACAACAGTAACTACAACATAATGGAAGGCAGAGACATATGAAGTATTTTCCATTTCATGTCTTTTTGTATTGAATTTATTTGATTTTCTCAACATTTTTGTTGTTAAAGTTGTGTTGTTGTTTACACTAATTTTCTTAGGTCTTGTCTATTTGCTTGGTTGGTGTTTTGTTGTTTTTGTTTAATATATTGTTGTTGTTGCTGTTGCTGTAATGTTGTAAACCAAATTTTTTTATATGTTTAAGTTAAAGATTTCCTCAAATTATCAGTTCATTTTGTTTGTTGTGTGTGTGTATGCATGTGTGTGTATGTGAATGACTGATCGTAGCATCATTTTAGACTTTGAGCTTGCGATGGGAAACATCGTTATTATTTTTATTTGCTCGTAATGTGCATCGATTTTGGCTTAAAGACTTAAGTTTGTTTAAGTACTTAACTTGCAGAGGTTTTTTTTCTAACTGATGAGAAGTATCTGTGAAATAGGTAAATTTGGAAAAAGCTTTCTCTTTTCCCTAAGTTATATACTAACATATGCAATTAAGTCTTGTTTTTTATGAAGACTTATTGGTAATTATTAGTGTTAAATGACTAATCTTGGCTATTAAAAAAATTGGTATTTTGGGGTTAAAAGAGGTTTAATTTCGAAGAGAAATCTGAAAGATTACTTCCTTTAAAATAATTAGTTTTAAAGATTTTATTTTATTTTACTGTTTTTTTTTTAATAAAATTGTAACTGTTAAACTAAAAACTATGTATATTTTTATCATGTATATAATTATATTTCTTATTTTTAAAAATTTGTAACAATTATTTGGTATTTTTAATAAATGATTTAAGGATAAGTTTCTTTTCAATATTAACTAAAATACAGAGTGTTTCCAAGAAGTCTAAGCAAAAATACCGTGCCGTCATACTTAATCACTATAACTTTCCGTTACTGGATTTCGGTTTGTCGCAGTATATCTCTTCACGCACTTTTGCTGTGTGACCGCATTCTCTAGTCTCGTACAGAAAGTGCGGTTAGTGGTTCCTCAATATGATCACCCCATCGGAGACGCGTCATTTTCCTCCAACACCACTTCAAATACTTATTTCGCTGTAAGCATATGAATTGATGAAAACAAGGGTCTCTGACAAAAGATATTAACATCGTTTTATAGGAAGCAATACATCTGTATTATAATGTTTGTGGAATTGTATTGCCTCCATTATGGATTAAGAGCGTTTCTTTAAGTCAAATCTTTTCAATAAATTGTAGTATTGAACTTATATTTAATTTTTTCAACCGAACCCCCCGAGGTAGTTCTTTCGTTGAGGCACGTCTCCGGTAAGCTAGTTAATTAAAGTTTCGTCAAAAAATTATTGGAAATATTAAAATTTTTAAAATCCTTTAAAATTTTTTTGTTAGTTAATTACAATTATTTATCTTATGATTGTTAATTACAGTACGTTTAAAAAAATATTGTGAAACTCTAATATAATATTGAATTAAAATATTTGATTTCAGATGATGATTCATCACTTAGCGTTCCATATTTAAGCTAAGCTTTTCCACGTTCGATTAACATAAATTTGCCTTTTGTATCCTTGGTTATGTGTTTATTTTGAAGTAGAATTCTTTGAACTTGTTTGTATAATACCACATGTTTAACTCAAGAAGATAATAAAAAAATAATCAATATATTATTTAAATTTGATTATATGCACTTGTCAATAATATGTTAAATGTTTTTAAACTGAATACATTTGAAGTTCATTGACAAGAGATTGATCAAGATCATAGCTGATATAAGTATATTATAAAAACAGTGATAAAAACGTAGTGATACTAATAGAAAACCGTACTCAAATTGTTTATATATATATATATATATATTACATAAAATTGTTTAAAGAACAATTTGAGATTTTTTGGAAAAAAAATTTATGCAAAAATAATTTTAATAAAATATTATTTAGTCGTTTTGAAATTACTAAAATAAATAAATAAATATCTCAACAAATGTAGAAATAAAAATGTGAAAAAACATAAATTTCAATATATAAATTACACTAAATAAAATGAAATTGAATGTATTTCAAAGACTTGAGCTTAAGTGCAATAATTCTCGAATCATATCAGCCATCAAGACAAGATAAGCTGTCAAATAATTCATTGCATATGTAAATTATGAGCCAAATTACTTTCCGCATATCAAGTGGTTGAACATGTGCAAGAACTGTGTACCTCCTAGAGGCCTATATTTGAATAAAAGACATTTGCATGAAATTGTCGATCCATCCAATCAGCGGCACTGTTGCGCTGCATCATGTAACGAAAGCAGTGCGCAACGCCTTACGCACGCATACGTTTTTCGTTTTAATGGAACCAAGCCGATCGATTTGAGTAATTTTTTTTTGTGAATAACTTTGCGTAATTTAATTGTCTTTTAAAATTTTTATTTATTTTATATACATAAATATATATTTTGAATTTTACAGAGAAGACATTTCGAGAGCAGAAAGTGCACTGACCACACGGTGAAGTGTCTACGTGCCTCAGTACATGTCGCGGCTGCTGCAATTTCATCTGAAAAATTGCAACAAGTAATCTAAAATATTTAATAATAATATGAAGCAAAAATTTGTTCAAATTAAAAGTATAATATCGGTAGTACAGGATATATAAATATACAAATATAATAATAAATTATCTAATTTCCGTTTTGGATTTGACATCATTCACAAAATCTTTGCTACCGTTACTGGGAGATAGACGTTGAAGCCCGCGTACCTAACCGTCTTCGATTTCCTATTTAACATTTCAAATATTTCAACTACTGCATTTTGATATGGCATAAATTTGTTTAATTATTTTTTTACTTGTAGTACTCGTATTCGTTTAGGAAAACAAAACCTTTCTATTTGCTTTTATATATTTGAGCTAAAGTTTTCACTGCATCTGGAATAATAATGAATTTTACGCGTTTTTGGTTTTATTGAACTCTGAAATGGCGTTTTCGTCATTGAATTTGCATTTCATTTAACAATTCACATGTTCCAAAGCATGTCAAATATTTGTTAATATTTTGGAGACAAAAACTCAAATTTCTTAACCCAAAACTGAGTACATATGAAATTTAAAAAAATATTTAATATGATTAATACATAAATCTAAGTCTATTAGTCCATGAAGACCCTTAACACATACACCGGCCTTCATTATTTTCTTTACTACTGAATGCTTTATTTAAATTATGTTAATGAACATTAATATCACATCTAAGAGGTTTTATTTTATTATATTTTGAATATATTAAAAATAAGAGAAGGGTTGTATAAAGAACCAATCATCTAGTGAAAAAGTAGTAGAATTTAATACCATATTGTGCTCAATGTTAATTCTATAATATCTGATAACTTATAAATTCTATGAGCATAATTGTAAACATAATACTTAATTACATTTTTTTTATTATTTATTATTGTTTATATTTCAGAAATTGTGAAGTTCTGTACTCCTTATGTCCATTACTATCCAGACGTACGTGCACCTAACTTTCATTATTGTTTACGCAAATTACAGATAATGTGCATACGAGACTTGTGTTATTATTAATTCAAAACACATACGCCCTACACACTGTCCTATACATAATTGTTATATAAAGAAAACTTAAATATTGAAAATTTATCACAAATTTTTTAAAAAGAAGTGGGCTTAATTTTGCCGAAGATTGAAAGTACTCAACGATCTTTCCAAAATGTAATGTAGGTATTTGTGTTGGTGCTGGTATATTCTTTGGCAACCGCTCGATAAATCCCATTCTACGATTGGAAAACATATTGAATATTTTGTAAGTAAACGTAAACGAAGTTTAATAGATCAAAACTTATTAACTTAACAGATTTGATTGTGTATAAAACTTTCGATCTAAAGGATCTTCGTTGAAACCATGCTCTTTTCTGGATAATGCGTGCACATAAAATTTTAGTCCAACGCATTCCGAAGCATTTGTTTGTATTAATAAGCACGTATTCCAAATATAATGAATGTCATGATATGAAAAATGTCCTCACTTTATTTAATATTTGTATACATTGGTATCCCGAAAATAGAAAATGTTTTGCATGTAACTTAGAACATATAAAATCTAAGATATTGCAAATCTTAAAGATATTCCATTAAAAAGAAAAAAACTATACTGTAAAAACAAACCTTCTTAGGAAAAACAAACATGTATCACAAACTTTTTTAAAACGTTTATTTAATACGCGTAAAAAATCTAAATTATGGGGGTGTTTATTGCCACCAATTTAGTTCCATATGCCCCCATAGTTCTTTGTCCTTAATAATTTTAATACCTCAGAAAAGCAAAATCAACAACTTGTTTCAGGTACTGTTACCAAAATATACTGCGTTCGAAAGTTTTCCAACCAAATACATATCTACACTATTATAAAAATATGTCAAATCACTCAGAATTCGTTTCACCTATCAAAGCCAGCGATCATCGAAAAACACGCTCTTGAACCTGAACTAAACTCAAAGAGACCATGTTTACTTTCTCACGCTATAGGTGAAACGATTCACCTCATCATCGTGATAAAGGTTGGCATTACTTTGCATTGAAAGTAAATGAAGACGAACTACAGAAATGATCCTATAAAGTAAAGTCTTAATCAAACAGATAAGAAGCTTAGCTTTTAATAAAAGTTTGCAGTAAAGTTTAGAAGAATTATAAGCAATTCATATGGTGTTCATAACAAAACCAAATGAGAATTGTAAATGATTATATATGTAATGTTACAAGAATTCTAATTAATTTTATTACCTTATAGAGTAATTGTCATTATGTAGAAGCTTACGACAGAGTAGAGTTTATATATTATTTAAGCATGTAACGAAAATTGATGTTCAGTGAAAAATATTTGCGGAAGTTCCACCAAGACCTTGTAAGACTATAAATCTCAGTTTTGTATTAATATTATTGTTAATAAAAATAACATCACATTTAAAAAAGAAAACCATAAAAACAGCTGTCAGGTTAGCTTTTAGATCATATGAATAACTCTAGGAATAATATTTCTTGTGCAATTATGTGAAATTATCCGTCTATGTCAACAAGTAAACGCTGTTTTCAAGCTTTAAATAAAACATTTATTGTGGTATTCATCAAGTATAGCTTTAAATATTAGAAAATGTTATAAGAATTGTTGGAAATATTGGAGCTCATGTTTGGCCGTCTTAAGCATATTTTTCAATTGACGAAATTTATTTGTCACCATTACTGTCATAAAATTATATATTGAATACAAATTTTTATTCTATTTATATGTATATATTGAAATTCTGCTTTATTCCAACTTTAAGCTCTACATTTCTTAAAAAAATACTTTATATATAAAAAACGAGCTATACCAGCACTTTTTCTGTTAAAGTAAGTTTCTTATTTCTTACCAATACTGTATAGTTAATTTATTGCTCAAAGTTTTTCTAATATAAAATTGATATTATGTAGTTATAAAGATTTTAAACAATTGTTATAAGATGATATATTTTTCGTGAAATATCGTTTCTACTTATCATATAACGTATTAGTCTATTAACTTAAAATACCTACAAAATGTGTAGCACATCACATTTCTCTTTATATTTAATATTTGTACGCATTTTATATATTATAAACTAATAAATTTCTTATTTTTATATATTTATTTTTTTTGTAAATTTATTTTTATGGCAAAATGATTAAACCTAATTTAGTTGCTTCAGTCTGTTCTTCAAACGTCTTCTGGTACCAACCTAATTGCTTTCAGTGTCTCACGTTTGTTCTGACACATTCCTTTGTATGCTCAACTGATTATCGTACGAACGCAGTTGGAAAGTAGGTTAACCGTTATTAACAATATTTACACGTCAATATGTCAAGTATTGCGAAAAAGAACCTGAAAGCTGGGATTTGTCTGCGCTTTAGAATGAACGAAATTTTATTTGGTTTAAACGAGAAATGGAAGTTTCACCCGAAAAGGATTCATCATGCACCAGAAAATGCTAACAGAAATTTATTGGGCCAAAGAGGAAAAAACTGTAAAAGTCTTGGGTGATTAATGCGGTTTTGGCATTTCATGTGAATGTTCTGCGAATTGCCTTACGAGTTTGAGCAATAAAATATTTAAAATTGAATTTCGTAAATTTAAATTTCTTTATTTATTGCATAAATATCTGTAGTTTGGATGATGTGGACAGAACATTTTCACAAAAGTCTTACTCACTGTACTATCTTACAATCTTAAAACAACAAATGATTTTAGAAGCAAATATGATTGTTTAAATAAAAGTAACCTTCTTCATTGCAATTATAATAATAATATGAACAGTCAATTTTCGTTACATGCTAAATAATATAAAACTCTACTCTGTCGTAAGCTTCTACATAATGACAATCTCTATAAGGTAATAAAATTAATTAAATCCTTGTAAAAAATACATAATAATCATTTACAATTCTCATTTGGTTTGTTATGAACCCAAATGAATTGCTTATAATTCTCTAAACTTACTGCAAACTTTTTAAAAGCTAAGCTTCTTATCTGTTGATTAAGACTTTACTTATAGGACATTCTGTAGTTCGTCTCATTTACTTCAATGAAATAATGCCAACCTTTATCAACGATGATGAGGTGAATCGTTTCACCTATAGCGTGAAAAGTACATGGTCCCTCTTTGAGTTAGTTCAGTTCCAAGAAGCGTGTTTTCGATGATCGCTGCCTTTGAAGGTGAAACGAATCTGAGTGATTTGACATATTTTTATAATAGTGTAGATATGTATTGGTTGGAAAACTTGAACGCAGTATATTTTGGTAACAGTACCTAAACAAGTTGTTGTTGCTTTTCTGAGGTATTAAAATATTAAGGACAAAGAACTATGGGGGCCAAATGGAACTAAATGGTGGCAATAAACACCCCATAATTTAGATTTTTACGCTATTAAATAAACGTTTTAAAAAGTTTGTGATACATGTTTGTTTTTCCTAAGAAGGTTTGTTTTTACAGTATAGTTTTTTTCTTTTTAATGGAATATCTTTAAGATTTGCAATATCTTAGATTTTATATGTTCTAAGTTACATGCAAAACATTTTCTATTTTCGGGATACCAATGTATACAAATATTAAATAAAGTGAGGACATTTTTCATATCATGACATTCATTATATTTGGAATACGTGCTTATTAATACAAACAAATGCTTCGGAATGCGTTGGACTAAAATTTTATGTGCACGCATTATCCAGAAAAGAGCATGGTTTCAACGAAGATCCTTTAGATCGAAAGTTTTATACACAATCAAATCTGTTAAGTTAATAAGTTTTGATCTATTAAACTTCGTTTACGTTTACTTACAAAATATTCAATATGTTTTCCAATCGTAGAATGGGATTTATCGAGCGGTTGCCAAAGAATATACCAGCACCAACACAAATACCTACATTACATTTTGGAAAGATCGTTGAGTACTTTCCATCTTCGGCAAAATTAAGCCCATTTCTTTTTAAAAAATTTGTATTAAATTTTCAATATTTAAGTTTTCTTTATATAACAATTATGTATAGGACAGTGTGTAGGGCATATGTGTTTTGAATTAATAATAACACAAGTCTCGTATGCACATTATCTGTAATTTGCGTAAACAATAATGAAAGTTAGGTGCACGTACGTCTGGATAGTAATGGACATAAGGAGTACAGAACTTCACAATTTCTGAAATATAAACAATAATAAATAATAAAAAAAATGTAATTAAGTATTATGTTTACAATTATGCTCATAGAATTTATAAGTTATCAGATATTATAGAATTAACATTGAGCACAATATGGTATTAAATTCTACTACTTTTTCACTAGATGATTGGTTCTTTATACAACCCTTCTCTTATTTTTAATATATTCAAAATATAATAAAATAAAACCTCTTAGATGTGATATTAATGTTCATTAACATAATTTAAATAAAGCATTCAGTAGTAAAGAAAATAATGAAGGCCGGTGTATGTGTTAAGGGTCTTCATGGACTAATAGACTTAGATTTATGTATTAATCATATTAAATATTTTTTTAAATTTCATATGTACTCAGTTTTGGGTTAAGAAATTTGAGTTTTTGTCTCCAAAATATTAACAAATATTTGACATGCTTTGGAACATGTGAATTGTTAAATGAAATGCAAATTCAATGACGAAAACGCCATTTCAGAGTTCAATAAAACCAAAAACGCGTAAAATTCATTATTATTCCAGATGCAGTGAAAACTTTAGCTCAAATATATAAAAGCAAATAGAAAGGTTTTGTTTTCCTAAACGAATACGAGTACTACAAGTAAAAAAATAATTAAACAAATTTATGCCATATCAAAATGCAGTAGTTGAAATATTTGAAATGTTAAATAGGAAATCGAAGACGGTTAGGTACGCGGGCTTCAACGTCTATCTCCCAGTAACGGTAGCAAAGATTTTGTGAATGATGTCAAATCCAAAACGGAAATTAGATAATTTATTATTATATTTGTATATTTATATATCCTGTACTACCGATATTATACTTTTAATTTGAACAAATTTTTGCTTCATATTATTATTAAATATTTTAGATTACTTGTTGCAATTTTTCAGATGAAATTGCAGCAGCCGCGACATGTACTGAGGCACGTAGACACTTCACCGTGTGGTCAGTGCACTTTCTGCTCTCGAAATGTCTTCTCTGTAAAATTCAAAATATATATTTATGTATATAAAATAAATAAAAATTTTAAAAGACAATTAAATTACGCAAAGTTATTCACAAAAAAAAATTACTCAAATCGATCGGCTTGGTTCCATTAAAACGAAAAACGTATGCGTGCGTAAGGCGTTGCGCACTGCTTTCGTTACATGATGCAGCGCAACAGTGCCGCTGATTGGATGGATCGACAATTTCATGCAAATGTCTTTTATTCAAATATAGGCCTCTAGGAGGTACACAGTTCTTGCACATGTTCAACCACTTGATATGCGGAAAGTAATTTGGCTCATAATTTACATATGCAATGAATTATTTGACAGCTTATCTTGTCTTGATGGCTGATATGATTCGAGAATTATTGCACTTAAGCTCAAGTCTTTGAAATACATTCAATTTCATTTTATTTAGTGTAATTTATATATTGAAATTTATGTTTTTTCACATTTTTATTTCTACATTTGTTGAGATATTTATTTATTTATTTTAGTAATTTCAAAACGACTAAATAATATTTTATTAAAATTATTTTTGCATAAATTTTTTTTCCAAAAAATCTCAAATTGTTCTTTAAACAATTTTATGTAATATATATATATATATATATAAACAATTTGAGTACGGTTTTCTATTAGTATCACTACGTTTTTATCACTGTTTTTATAATATACTTATATCAGCTATGATCTTGATCAATCTCTTGTCAATGAACTTCAAATGTATTCAGTTTAAAAACATTTAACATATTATTGACAAGTGCATATAATCAAATTTAAATAATATATTGATTATTTTTTTATTATCTTCTTGAGTTAAACATGTGGTATTATACAAACAAGTTCAAAGAATTCTACTTCAAAATAAACACATAACCAAGGATACAAAAGGCAAATTTATGTTAAT